CTGCGCTCAAACGCAGACGTAACAAACCTTGAAGGCCGAGCATCGATCGAATCCCACCACAGCGCCACTTCAAACTTCAAACCTGACCTCGGGATACCCAGGAAAAAAAACTCATAAGGCCGCTCTGAAACCCTTCGAAAGCCACGCAAAACCCACGAAAAACAAGCCCAAGCCCGTGCAGATGAAGAGGTCCGGCCTCGCAGGGGTCCGGCGGTAGCGAGAGCCTGAGGATGTCGAGTTTGCAAAGCGACAAAATCCGGCTTGAGTGCTCCCAGGTTTAGGGTTTGGGGCTTAGGATCCGAAGGGCCCAAACCGAAGATCCCTGGAAAACAAGACAAAAACCGAAGACTTGAAATCAGAATCTTGAGCACTGGAGCTTGGGTTCAGGGTTCCGGGTCGAGGATAAGGGCTTGGAACCCTAAACCCTAAACCTCATGAAGGTTTCATGTTTTGGCCTCGGGATCAACCTTACCGCTGTGGCTCTGAATCACAAGCCCTGAAACTACACATTTGGATTGAAGGCTGTAGGGGCAAGCTCAATGCTCAGAGAAGTGTACGCAAACCCCGTGCCCCATGCAGATAAAGGCTTCCGGTTTTTTTTTTTGAGGGCTCTTTTCCAACTGGTTAGCAGGAATGCCTTACCAGGCTGAGCCTGTGGTTGGGGCCTCTGCAAAGACTCACTGCGCAGGGGGGTTTTGGGCTTAAGGTTTTTGGTAAAGGGTCTGGGGCTTAGGGTGTTTTGGGCTGGGTCTTCTCGGCTGGAAATGTGCGGCATTGCTTTGCATGTCCGAAACAAGGCTCCGGGCAGAACTCTGTTGACACAGCGCTGTGCAACCTGCTCCGTGTATGCTTTTCGAGGAGGTGCGGGATTGGGGCTTGCTGCTTCTGCTACTATCCGCAGCGGCTGTAGCTCTGTCTCTCGACTCTCGACGCTGTGCCGTGAGATGGGACTGGTTTCCAGCACTGGCACTGGCGGTAGCAGTAGCCGTAGCCGTTGCCGTCGCCGTAGCAGTAGCAGCAGCAGCTGCAGCAGCGGAAGCAGCAGTAGCAGTAGTAGCAGCAGCCGTAGCCGTAGCGGCAGCGGTAGCAATTGCCGTAGCAGTAGCACTGGCACTAGCACTAGCAGTAGCAGCAGAAGCAGCAACGTTAGCAGCAGCCGCAGCTGCAGAACAAGCAGATTTGGTGGTCCTGCAGCTGTAGCAGCCATCTGCTATTGATTGTTGGTTTCAAGTGGTGGGAGTGGTGGGGTGACAGGGCAAACTCGTGGAAGAACCGTCTGCTTCCTTGCAGTCAGCTGGTAAGCTTATTTCGGACTCTTGCAGAGTTGTATATGCGGTTTGCTCTACTACTGCCGCACGGTGCTTGCAGCATCAAGAATCCACATCCGACGGGAGCTGTGGAATGCCAGAGCCACACACCGGCTCTATCTCAGAAGTAGTAGGGTTAGGGTTCTCAAGGCTCAAGGTTTGGATCCAAGCTTTGGAGTTTGCAGGTGCAACATCCCTGACACCCGAAGTCCTATCAGATATCACCTCAACCGTCGGGCTTTAACTTCTCTCGTACTCAGACCATTTGGACTCAAACCCTCTACACACAGAACACGAAACACGCCTCGCGTTCCTCAACCCAACGACCCTGAAGCTACAAACTCGCAAACCCACGAGAACCTGCTCGGATCCCCCGGACGAACCCCAAAAAAAATTGACAGCCCGAAGCCCGAACTAGGACACCCAAATCAGAAATCTGAGCACAACTACCTATACTCCAAGACCCGAGAGTATCCGAAACCCTACACCCCTAAACTGTAAACTGTAAACTGTAAACCCTGAACCTTGAAGCTTTAATCCGAAACACGAAGCAATCGAGTCCTTACCAATACTATTCCTTACTATAACTTCGCCATCATCAACCCAAAACCTCATTCTAATTATGAAGACCTATGTTAAGCCCTGTGTTTAACGTTGCCTTCTCGAGCTTGCCTCTGTGGAGCTTCAGGTAGCTGATCTGCGGAGACTTTCATTAAATGAATTTTGGTTGAGCTTCGGGTCATTAAGTGTGCGCTTAACTAGGATCTAGGATTCATCACAGTGTATCTTATTCAAGGTACAAAGTCTAGGGTTTAGGGATCTGAATCATCAATCCAAAGACTTCATTTAAATGCCCTGCAAATCATGAAAAGACAGTGGACCCGTTGGCGATATGTGGAGAAACCGGTGCTCCTCTGATGTGGCTTTGGGGTGGGGTTGCTTTGGCCTGCCGCTTAGGGCCTAGAGTTTGGGGGTTTAGGATTTGGGATTTACCCTAAAGCTCTAAACCCGAAAACCCTAAACCCTAAGGTTTCAACCGAATTGGGATGATAAGTAGCTGTAAGTATAGCTGCCTAATTTCATAGCTTCAGTCCCATGAGATGTTAAGTAGGGCTTAGGTATATGACCTCTTAAGGTTCAGAGGGCGCCCGGACTCAAGCTTCTCCAGGTAATCAGTGACGGTTTAGGGTTTAGGGTTTAGGGTTCATGGGACGTAGAAAGTAAGGTTACCATAGACCATAGCTACAAGTACTCAGAAATCCAATTCAGGTACTTCTAACATTACTTACTCGGTCCCATGATCTTCCAAGTATACCGCAGAGGTGGGAGATGTGTTTTGAGTAGCTATGGGTGCAGGGTTTCGAGGTTGTTTTGAGCGCTCTTCTTTTAAGACGCATGGAGCCCGTAGACGTCCCAAAACGGCTGCAGCTTTACAGTGGCTGCTTCCCGAGCTGGGAGACAGGGCTTCATATACAGAGTTTGTCTTCGGCAAGCAGTAGGAACCCCTAAACCCCCAAACTGGGGGTTTTCTAGGTCTGGCCGAGTCGTGCCGACATTTACACGTATACATGGTTCAACGCTTGGGACTTCGGTTGGAAAGCTTTTGGGTTAAGGTGCACGTACATTCACTTACAGAACATGAGCTTACACCTCATTAAAAGTATAGCAGCCCATCTAACGTATGCTATCTTGGAAGACTACGTTGCATCAGGCTCCATCGCGTCGCAAACCATACCTGGTACCAATACGTTGCACTGGATTCTCCATGGTAGTATGTCAGACAAACTGCGGTCTGACATGCAAGTGCGACGTCCAACATCGCTGCCTGTGGCTTTTTTATCACAATGACTTCGCTAAATTGCAGGCGTGTGCGTGCTCGGACACTCCTGGAGAACTACCCTCAGCCAGCCCGGACGATTCTTAGATCCATGAAGAATCCCACAATCCCAAAGGCAAGACAACTCCGGTCCTGATCCTTCCGCTGCTTTCGAAGAGCCGATTTTCGTTGCTCTTCCGACTCCGGATCGACCTCACCTTGACATCTACAGGCCTTAGGGCTTAGAGGTTTCAGGGGTTCGGGGCAAACATGACTTTGGGGTTTCAGGGCTTAGGGGAGGTGAAGATTAGTATGCTTTGGCTTCGGGTCTACATACAGTCTACAGGGCTTTATGATGTTCAAGAGATCTTTCTCAAGCTCTGAAGTTATAAGCTCAAAAACATCCGAACCTGCTCCTACCCACATGCAAAAACACAACCCCTGGCCCCAAACCCCTCAGACACAAAGCAAAGCCCCTTGAACCCAGCACCCTCAAGCCCGAAAACCATCAGCTAGCAGTCAAGCTCTAAAGTTGGCATCTCCCTGCCTTCCTCTTCAGCATCTGCATCTGCCGCCATGAATGCCGGAAAGGGCTGTGCCTACCCTAAATCCTGAACCCTGAACCATAAAACGCTTAAACCCTAAGAATTCAAGCCCGATGGGATTCTGCCAGAGGTGAAAGAAAACTGGATGCCGCTCCACTGACATGTTGCTGGCGGCTGGAGGCCATGTCACTGCCAGATCGAGTTCAGAGCATCCCTCCAACGATCTGCCTGAAAGAAGAGACTACGAAGAGAGAGGGAGAGGGAGAGAAAAAGGAGAGGGAGAGGGAGAGTAGGGAGAGAGATGGGGACAGAGATGGAGATGAAGATAGAGACAGCGATTGCCAAAGCACAGAAGCTGAAAACTTCCCATCCCCAACCTCTCTCCTTTTTCAAGTCGTCGCCTAGGGGCTCAAGGGCTGATCCTCAGCTCTTGCAACTTCTCCTAAACCCTAAGCTCGAACCCCTTAGATCCTAGACTGCGGGACTGAACCAGATCGGATCACTGTATTCGTCGCCAATCTTCGGTCTGCCTGCCAGGAATCACGATCGCAGGCTCAAGTTCTTTGACAATGTTTCAGAAGTTTCTTGAGGGGGCTCCTTTTGATTATGATCGCATTGTTTGGGCCCTCTGTTGGGATCCGCTTCTTCATGACGATGACCGTCGTGCCTTGGGAGCCCAGTTGCGAAGATATCGGGTTGCTGTCCTTTGAATTCTGTACAACGCCTCTAGCACATATATCCCAACTGGACTCTTGGGTATGGACGGAAACCCCAAGCCCATCTAAACCCGTAAAGCCCCTTAAAGCCTACCAACAGACATTGTTGATAGGAGAGTAGCATGCGGTTTCGTGCAGGGGCTTGAGAGGCAGACACAGGGTATAGCTCGTTGAAGAATTAACACAGACTAAGCATTTAAATAAAAATATAGTAAAGTTATAGTAAAGAAAAGTTATAGGGTCGCTAGGTTCTATGAGAGTTTCGGTTTTGGGCATAGGGGGCTGGGTAGGTACGAGTACAAGCTGTACGTACTTCACTTGGGGCTACAAGTAAGTAGGTCTAAGTTTGTCTAAGTTATATGATTGAAGAGAATTACTAGTTACTAGGTCCCATTTTCCTCAATTACTCTTTCAGCCCAGTGTCAGACGGCATCCGCTTCTTGCGGGACCATTCGATCAAACACTAAGGGCGGTCAAGCACTCCGATTGAAACACTGGTGTGGGCGGGCGCGGCATCCGCGTTAGCAGGTCCGGCCGAAAAGGATAGGAACGGGAAGCTGTCATCTTCACGAACCACAAAGGAGAATCATGTCGGCAAAAATCTCAAACTTGTCTTCTAGATGAAGAAGGTATCATCATCCTCGAGGGAACTCTGAGCCTGCTGCATCTGGAGCAAGGCACTGGGCGCTCGGACGATTTTGGCGAGATCCATAGACGTCTGCTTCCGGGAGTTTCGAACATCCAGCCTCGCCCCTGCAGCGAGCAAGAGAGGAACCACGCCAAAGGAGCCACTGAGGATGCTAAACATCAGTGGTGTTGCGCCAGCGTGGTGATAGGACAAAAGGGTCAAGCGCGAGGGGCTGAACTTGTGCCGGAGGCTTCCGAGTTTCATTACCAACCACCACATCTTCCCCTCGGCTTCGAACTGTTCATTCACGTCTGCCCTCGCTTGTATTAAAAAACTGATCGGCTCGTAGAAGCCACCCTGAAACATGAGAGCGTAGTGCAGGCAAAACTTCAGGCTTAAGGAAGGAGCCTGCGATCTTAGCTCTGCCATCGCATCCAGGGATGCAAATGAGCAGGCCGCCTGAAGTGTGCTGATGCCAGGATGGCAAGAGTCAGAGGGATCCGCCCGCGCCTGGCACAAGCACCGGATGCCAATTGCATCGTTGGCCACTGCCGCCCACATGATGGCAGTGGCCTGTCGTGCGTCTCTCGCATGAACATCAGCCCTTGCTGATATCAGAGTTTCTAGGACACCCTGGTTGTGGTACACCACTGCCAGAGAAAGCAGGGAGAATCGCTTGGGCATCGCCAGCTCCTTCTTGGGCTTGGTGATGGCATCATTGGGATCAGCTCGGTGAGCAAGCAAAGACTGCACCAAATCCACGCTGCCCTTCACGACAGCAAAGCAAATCGGGGACCAGCCGGCCGCGTCCCTCTCCAGCGGACTTTGGAAGCCGTTCTGGTGCAGGAACCGCGCAAGCTCAAATTCCCGTGGCCGATCGAAGGGATCGACATCTGTCACGAAACCTTCGACCAAGCCGTCAATCGGGTCCATGCTGAGACCCTGGAACCAGCGTGACTTCTGCTCGTTCAAGAGAAGCCTGTAGCTGTGCATGTCGCCTGCCTCCCGATAGTACAAGAGCTTGTTCCACACCATGTGCACGAGCATCTGTCCAATCCTCGTCCTGTCGGACTCGACGGTAAAGGTTCCCATCGCCGGAGGCGATCGGAGGAGGTGAAAGTGCAACTTCGCATGCGTCGGGCTCTCGATGATGATGGTGCAGCTGTCATTCCTGGCCGCGAGGTCCACGGCCATCTTCTCGGCTCGGCACCAGCCTCTTCAGGCATGTCTTTCCGTGACTTCGGTGGGCTTCGAGTTTAAGGGTTTCGGGAACTACATAGGACCGGGTGCAGAGTAGCAACAGCATCAGACTTTATGCCACCCTCTCTGCATTTTACGGAGCACTTCGCAAGCTGCTTAGTTTCACCCAACCAGCCTCTGCCTGTCCACGTCTCATATGAGAGAGTCACTCTCTGCTCAGCATGGGTCAGCGCAGGGCAGAGAACTACGAAGTACTTGCACTTCGCAACATATGAAGGTATGCTGCCAATTGCATGCTGTCGATTTCGACTTGCACATTCGGATGCATCTTGTGGGCAGCACAAGAAATCGTACCAAACGTAGAGGGGTGTGGACTTGAACTCTGACGCCGTTGGACACGGCATGCGACCGTGAAACAACTCTGACTGAACAGGTTGGCTCACTTGGGCCACGCCAGCCAAAAGATTCCGCAGACCCTCTTGCAAAACCTGGAGCTGCTTGTTTTGTGGATCAGGGTGTTGATTCGCCAGCCACTGGTGTGAAATAAACATCGCCTTCCCCATGCTCTCGTCAAAGATGGTGAGACGCTTCGCATCTATCATGTCCTCGTGCGCCGAAAGCTCGACGAGCTCGAGGAAGGCGGAGAGGAGCAGTGTGTACATGGGAAATTCCTCCAGAATGTCCAGGCCGGAAGGGGTTCGCATTGGTCCTTTGTCTCTTGCTCTCCTAAACTCCTACACTTTGCGATGTTAAAACACTCAGCCCTGAACTAAACTTTAGTGCCGGAACCGAAACTTTCGACCCGAAGCCTTAGACACTACTAGCAAACCCAAAGTCAGTCCTTCTGCCACATGCAGGGAGCTGGCGATCCGGACGAGTGGAGTGTCTGCCATGAGGCCACAAGCGGCCAGCACTAAGTGTGCACCTACCTTGGGCCTAAAATGCACACAGGACATGGTGGAGCATGATGGGAAAATAAACATGAGGCCTGGGCCTAGAACATGACCGACAAAAAGCATCGAACTAACTTAGCACTGGTGATCCAGCTCATGCTGTTCTGAGTATGGTTAATCTAACCAATTGAAACAAGTAGCCATGACAATGTTGATACGATTGGAGCAACAAGACAATACAATGACTGCACTGTCTTCTATACAGACATAATATTGCACATGCATGCTGACCCAGCCACCTCGGAGATTGTCTTCGTGTGTTCCACGAAGACTGCGCAATGAATTCTTGCCAGCAGCGCCTGCTCAACTCAGAACGGCGGCTTTCTCTCGAATTGATGCCACCTAGCTAGCCGTAAACCCCCTGCGGCCTCGCCCCTCCGAAAGCTGTGCTTGGGGCCGAAGCTGGCATGGACCGTTGGTGGATTTCAAACAACATATCAACATATCAGGGCGTTCGACTTCTCCAGCCTAACACACTGCCAAGATGTGCTTTGATAAACAGCTGATTTGGGGCCCCATGCAAGGCTCCAGGATTGCAGAATTTACAAGAAAATCCGCAAATGCAAATTGCAGATATTTGCTTCTCACGGACCTTGGACCTGCACGGCACAGTTCTCCAAACATCGTATGCAGCGTATTTCTTCTTCATTTTGGCTGGCCCTGAACATAAAGGGCGCATTCCATGCCATAGTGTACTTTCAAAGAATCATGTAAACACATGGTAAAAAAAACTCGGTTCAGCACTCGCACATCTTCGTGTTTCGAAACAAGTCTAAACTTCTAACTCCTTTGAATCTCGTCTCTCGTTTGGTCAAAGAAGAAGGACCGGTGGTCGTTGAGCACATGGCCTTCCACACCCCGACAAATACGTCAAAAGAGGTTCGGCACACATCGAGCCTTGGCTCTGCTACGACGTTTCCCTCCTCCCGTCCTGGCACCGGAATGTTCCAATGGTCAAGTCGTCAAGCAACGAATGCAAACGATTAAAGGAAAATTTCGGGCTCGCGTACTAATAAAACCTTTTCAAACATTGGAAAAAAAGCTGGAACCACGTAGCAAGTGAAAGCAACAGACGCCTGCTAGAGGATACTGTGTTTTTGGAACCTGGCAGCACTGAAAGCATCTGACGCTTTTTTCGGAGCTCTCGCAGCAAAGTCACAGCAACATCTGCACTGTCTCTCTGGGGAGGGTGTTCCAGCGCTCCACTCTGTGTTAGCTACGAGGCTGGCTTCGAGACATAGGTCAGAATTCGTTACTTCGAAGCACTGTCGATTCTCGGGCTTTAACGGCCGGAGCTCAAGCGATCTTAAGGGCTCTGAAGTGCTTGCAAAACAGATTCTAGAACGGTTTTTCGCGACAACGGAGATCTCACACAAAGGCCATGAATCCCTGGCAAATGCGGAGCAGTTTTTCCAACTGCTTCCGCTTCGGTGGCATCATGTCTGCGTTTCGATCTTACAGATCGTAGTCGATCTTACAGATCGTAGTCATCGATCTTACAGATCGATGTGACAGAGTTCTTTCTGTTGGGAGGACCGACTGGTTCCCAGGCGGTACTCGCAGACAGGAAGCAGAGGAAAATATCGTAGTCCAATGAGGGTCGGGACGGGTGGGTGAAACAAAATTTCTCTCAAGCTGGAACAGCTTTTCGCCAAATGGCCACGGAATATACAATCGTTCGAATTGAATCGGTGAGTTAATCCCCTGACCGATTCGGTGATCAAATGAGATAATATGTTGTCACTTCGCACAAACAAGTGTGTGCTACACGACAACGGAGATCTCACACAAAGGCCATGAATCCCTGGCAAATGCGGAGCAGTTTTTCCAACTGCTTCCGCTTCGGTGGCGTCATGTCTGCGTTTCGATCTTACAGATCGTAGTCGATCTTACAGATCGTAGTCATCGATCTTACAGATCGATGTGACAGAGTTCTTTCTGTTGGGAGGACCGACTGGTTCCCATCGAAGGTGGTCGCGTCCTCCCATCGCAGGCGAACGCCACTCGAAATATGATCAAACTAGCATCGTAGTCAACTGATCGTGCAATCTGCGAATTTCGGGTAGTTCGGAAAAACCCGTAGAAGAAGCAAAATGAATATCTCCTATAATCTTCGCAGCCCTACTGGTCAAAGCGTGTACAGGTAAGTCGAGCTTAGTCCAAGTCGAAGACTCTGGTACATGTTCGAAGCGGCTGATCCCGTCGGAGATGTTGGCTTTGGTGGGAACACGTTCGAGTCGGTGTGCAAGACTTCGTCGATTATGCCAAGTCCAGTGTGCTGCAATGAGGCAATTCAGGGGCTGATGTTTGCCGACGCCTTTGAGTAGGGCGTGTCGAGAAGCTTCGTTGTCGCAGCACTGGACGTAGAACTTGTCGAGCCATGGCTCGAAGACCAGTGGAGCCAAAATGGCGACCCAAGCTTCGAGGAGGTAAATGAAAGCCTGGTCGGAGGAAAATTGTCGTACGAGTAGTGAGGGGAGACGACCCTGGAAGTAAGCTGCCATTTGCACATCACCGTGGTGGAAGCAAACTGCAGCCCATCCGTTCTCGATGTCGGATGTCGACTTCGAGTCCCAATTCGGGATGTCGTCGTCCCCCGGCCTGTAGGTGTGGTCGCCCAGGCGGAAGTACGCATCCGTGTAGATGACACTGTATGTAGTTCGAGTCATCTGTCGTGGTATCGTCATCGGGCGACAATGTTGTATGATGTCCTTGAGTGAAAGTAGTGACGATCGGGTAGGTTTGTCGAGAGCGTGTGAGTACGAATGGGCGCGGGCATATAATGCTTTCAGGGCCGCGCGGCCCACCTTACCGAAGAGTCGGCCTGTGAGGAAGTTGCACTTCCCAGCCATTTTTCTGGCTTGTTCGGGTGACAATGACGAAGTCTCCAGGTGCACGTCGATCTGCTTACACATGTTCTCGACGCGTTTGGGACACGGAGTCAACACCAAGTTGTCGTTGTCGGAGGAGATGATGACACCTTGGATCCGATGTGCGGTTTGAGGTGGTTGTCTCTTGCTGGGTTTCATCGAGATTTGTAGACAACCATTGTACTCCTCGAAGGATTCAAAGCTGCCCTCGGCTAGATCGGAGTCTTCCATGGATCCATAGTCGTCGACGTAGTGCATCGCCGGTGACAGGATCATCGTGCGACTGCACGCAACCAGAATGTCTCCAAAACGATTATACGACCAGACACTGGCTGCCGAACCAAAGAGCAGGACGTTGTGGCTCCACAGTGTCGGGCCGTCTGGTGTGAGTAGCATCACGTATGCTTCGCGAGGATCTCGTAGTGGAAGTTGTCGGTAAGCTCCATCGTGGTCATGTCCCCAGACTGAGAGGGGTTTAAGTCGATCCTGTCGGATTGTCGCGAGTCCCAGGGATATGAAGTGATCGGGTGCGTGATGGTATGGTTGGTCGTGCATCGTGCACGTCGCGTTGTGTCCGCTTCGTCGCCAATCTTCTCCTCGTCGAACTTTGTTGTTGCCGTCGCTGCCCGTCTGTTCGATGCTGAAAGCCATGGCAATGTACGGGTCGGAGTGAGGCAATGGTAATAATTTTCGGTGTCGTCCCTTGGGCGGGACGGTCGCCGTCCTGGGCCACCAATCCGGTGCCTCGAACGGTCCATTCATTCGTCCGAGGTCGACCTCCGCTAAGATTTCGTCGAGCATGAGTTCCCAGTGATCGTCAACGGAGTTTTTGTCGATCTTCTCTTTGATGTACTGTCGATTGTTCTCGCGAAACTCTTCAATGGGAGTGGGCTCGAGGTATTTCTTGTCTTGTCGCACGTGCCAGTTGATGCCTGGAGTCAACTTCCCCATAAGGGGGAAGCCTTCGGAGAGCTCGCGGTAGATCAGCTCGGTCTGTGGGTATTGTATCATTCGAAGAAGGTGGACGAGGACAGGTATTTGTGTAACCGAGTTCTTGTGACGATATGCTCGTTGTACATGTTCTGGAAGAGTGTTGAACCAGGCCATCGTGTGTTCTTCCATGTCTTCGACGAGTTCACGAATGTCGGCGATGACGGCCTTCTGGAAATCCATGAGTGGGTGGAAAATATGTCGGTGTTGTAGACACCACTCAAGTGTGGGATCGAATATCTTGGGTGATAAGTGTGTGTCTCTGTGTAGTGCCCATTCGAGGTGATCCGTCCAGGAGAACTGTGGCATGTAGTCGTGATTCGGTGTTCGGGGTGGTGGACCAAAGGGTACCTTAGACTGCAACCAAAAGGAGGTGATCTGTTGTAATGGGGACACTCGAGGTGTCTCCGGGATGGATGCATCGACAGTCCCCAGTAGGAGCAGGAAGATGATCCAAATCGCCGTAGGCAGGTGCCACGCGTTGCCCAGAGCAGTGCAACGTTTTGTCTCATCGCCATTTCCGAGTGTCGACGTATAGTCCAGTGGTAAGCCTTGTAGTTGTTCGCGCAAAGATGAAGGAGCCGTCGTCCATGACCCGTCCTGCAAAGTGACGATGAATTGTTCTTCGTACTGCCAAACCGGGTAACGTCGGTGATCTTGTTCCCATCGATTCCATGCGTCTTGTGACGTCGTGCGGTCTCGGAGTTGTCTCGGAGGTTCTCGTCCGAACGTCGACGTGGATGGTGTGGTCAGGCAGTGAAACAGTTTCTTGTCGTTGTGTAGACACGGTGGTAAGGAAAAACCTTTTGCGGAAATCTGGGGTTGTAAGTCGGTGCCAATCGGGTTGTGTAGTCGATGCCATTCTCCATCTATTTGCCATTCGAGGGACCA